TTTTAAAATATAAGGTCAATAATAGACATTTTGGAATATTATGAAACACATCTAGAAAAACAAATGATGATGATCTTCCTGGATGCAGAAAAGACCTCTTCTGACAGGTTCTGATGAGGTTGTTCTCACTTTGGTTGCTTGATTGGTCTCAACTGGTCACACACCTGGAATCCTCCTTGGGAAGATGCTTATGCAACTGCTCTTGTGTCCCATGTTTAGGCAATAGGATACTGTCTAGACATGAGCTATTCGTATTCATCTCCCAAGGGAGACTAATATGACGAACCACAGATACCTGGGCTGTTTGGACTCTTCCCCTTGAACTGGCCGGTGCACTTACCGCTTGCCATGCACATCCATCGTAAATTGTGACATGCCAATCATGGAAATAGCCTGGGCATACTTCCCCACCTCCCTGCACAGCCAACCACTTAGCAGCTGAGTGGGGAGACATGTCAACCTGTCCCCTTGCCGGAGTGGTTGGCTGTGCAGACAGGCAGGGAAGCACCAGCAGGGCTACTTCCACAATTGATGCATCATGAACAACAATGGCCATGCACAGCAAGTGGTAAATGAACCGGCCAGTTTTGGGAGGAGGATCCAAATGGCCCAGGTACCTGTGGGGCTGATATTCATATGCATCTCCCCTGGGAGATGAACACGAATACCCCATGTCTAATACTGGACAATGAGTCTGTGGCAAATATGAGACTTGAACCATAGCGGACAAAAAAGCTCTACAGAGAACCATTAAAATTGCCCAGAATATCATCGGGCTCCAGCTACCAACCCTGGATGACATCTTCACATCCCGCTGTCTAAGGAAGTCACACAGCATCCTGAGAGACTCTTCCCATCCTGCTTATAACTTTTTTGAACTGTTACCATCTGGCAGAAGATATAGAACAATTAAGACTCAGACCACACGTTTTCTCAATAGCTCCCAGAGCTATAATTGCAATTAATAATGAGCTTAAAGACCACCAGTAGTGAAAAATTAGTTGGACTGTGTAACTTGGCCTGCGGTGTAGATGTTTGTATTTTTAGTGGGGAACTTTTAGTGGGTGTTTGGGAATTTTATGTGTGTGCATGTGTCTGGTCTCTGGGTGTCTGTGAATTTCGTTGTATGTGTATATACTTACAATGACAATAAATTATTATTATTATTATTATTATTATTATTATTATTATTATTATTATTATTATTATTGACTGTCTCATCCAAACACAAGTTGGATGTGATTATCTAATTTTTAGTCATATCAAAATTCTTTGTCTTATTTTTCACCATCTGTTTCATGAACTTTGCTGTATGTTGTAAGGGCTAGCATTCTGTGTAATAGACATGATTCATTTTACATTAAAATAAACATACAACTCCCTTTCTTTGATAAAAAGCTTCTGATATGATGAAGATGGAGGAAGTGGCTGTGTGATTGGGTTCTTTCTCTAAAGGGGTGGACCCTTCAATTCAGCGGGGGAAAAGGACGGAGATGATGATAACGGTTCAAACATGGTTCCTTTATTCTTTTGTACATCTTGGTTGCTATCACAGAAAGGATCTAAGCAACGTAACTCAGGCATCAGCTTGTAACTCTTTACATGAACTGTGCTTATATTCTTTTCCTCTATTATTTCTTTGCCAGCCCCAACGGACCTTGTTCCGTTTGTGGCCATTTCGGGAAACTCAGGGTAGCGCAGACTGTCTCACAACAAGGGTGTTTCACCAAATTCCCCTCTAGATAAGGAAGGTAGTTGGAGGCACCAATGAATGTCACTTTCTTCCCTCCCTCGTGCGATTGGGGTACCGCTACCATGCTCCATTTCACCTTTGGTCTTATCTGTCCCCTATCAGTAATATTGGGTGGGTCAGGCAGTAGACCTCCACCAGTTCTCAGGTTAGGAAAAATTCCGGGCTAATTTTCTTATTCCATACCTTTTCACCTCTGTCTCTTCAGTCTGTTTACTTTTATCCTCTCTATCTCTCGTTCTCCTCTTGTTCTGCCCCCCTCATTCTCTTCTCCTCCCTCTTTTTTTTTTGCTCATCTGGTCTCTGCCAAAAATATCTCCACAGCCCTGTTTCTACCAATCTCTCCTTCCTCTAGCTTGATTAACTCTTCCACCATGCAACCAGCTGTCATCTCTTGTCTGATCTCAGTAGAGGACAGCACACTAAACATCTCTCCTTCACAGGCTGAAAGCATCTAAGTTGTATGGGAATGTCAAGGCATTATGAATCTGGCAGTCTTCATGCCTTTTATGCTTCACACAGAGTACCTCTCAAAAAGCTACCAGACCAATCATGTCTCAAAAAAGGCACGGATTATCAGCTGAAAGCTGTTACAGATATCTGAGAATGCTAGCGTTTTTTGGCTAAAGTCCCCAGAAATCTGGCTGGGGGAATCCCTGCAGGCTTCTGTGGGCTGTAGTTCAAAATACACAAAAATCCCATGCCTACTCATAAAGGCTTCCATATGCTGCCACTCCATTGGCTCCTCAGTGTGTGGGTTGCAGGAGGTACATCAGCTGGCATGGGGGCCACTCAGTAACTGAATCCATCACTGTATGCTGTGTCAAAACTTGCAGCTCTAAAGATAACTGAGCGATTTGTTTAATCAAAGATACATTTTTTATGTTTTTCTTCTTCACCCTTCACCCACATATCCAGCTATTAGAAGCACGTGGTGGTGTAGATGCTAGAAAGTTATGATGTATGAAAAGTAATTCACGGATGTGGGGGTATTCTGTTCAACTCACAACAAAGACACCGAAAGTACAATAGAAATGGGTGGTGGATATGAAATCACAAAATCATAGAATAATGGAGTTTGAAGGGGCTTGTAAGGCTCTTGAGTCCAACCCCTGCTCAATGTACCACAACAGAGGCCCAAGGATATGAAGATTGTGATTTTGTAAGCAGGCACACAATTTTGTACTTTCTCAGATCCCAGATATTGCACCAAAACTTTCCTTGTGTTCCTGCTTCTTGGAGAAAGATACCTAGTACATTCAATCCTGGAACAATACTGTGACATACAATCTCAGCACCTTCCCCTCAAAGAACTATGACTGGGGAACCATTTAATGTTATGAAAATTACAGTTGTCTGTCTCAAAATGACATATTTTAATTTCCTCCCTTTTCTTTTACAGATGCACTGTCAGATGTAGTGTTAATCTCCTGAAGCAAACTAGTTTATATGTATCTGATGAAGTGGATGGACTCCAGTCTATGATAACTTATGCCAATTGAAATAGGTCTCCGTGATTGGGTTCTTGTTTAACATTGGGCAGTTCCTCCCTTTTGGGCTCACAGACTATGGGAGATGCATTTGGTTGCAATAACAGTTTAATTAACTTCAATGGTGTGGCATAAGCGATAACCTCAGTAGATCCAACAAGACCTTCAACGTAGGTAAAATTGGGCTAACAGTCTTTCATGTTCAGAGTAACAAAAGAGTCCAGCAATGCGGGTTTGGTCCAAATTTCTTGCAATTGGTGGGTTTCCTCAGGGGCTTTCTCTGTTGGCACAAAAAGTCTCACATGTCTGGCTCATTTGCCTTCTGTCAGTGTCCCAGCTCAGTTGTTTAGGTCTGGATGTGCCTCCATTTCCAAGGCACCCCCCCTCCTTTCAGGATACATGTACATGGTGCTTTCTATTGATTCTGGACCCTCTTAACTATACCTCCATGCCCCCTTTCTCACTATTTTTTTGTTCTCTCCTTTCCGTTTCTCTCCAGTATGAGGGTTTTGGGGCAGGCTTACTTCTCTGACACCTTCAATCTCTTCCAAGGGAAACTTCATTTTCACCATCTTGTGGAACCAGGGGTCCTCCAGCTCTAACCACCCCTTTCCTATCAGGATTTCCCCCCCCTCTTCCTCCTTTTCCTCTGCCCCTTCTCTCCAGTCTAAGCCCTCTTTTATTTCCTCCTTGATCACTACTCCCATCTCTTCTCCTGTCATTAGATACCTTTCTGCTATTGGTAGAGCTTTTCCTGCCGCAATCTCCCTGATCTTTTCTCCTTCAATTTTCCCACTCTCACTTTCTTGTATTCTCATCTGTGCCACAGCTGGCAGTAAAATGCACACAGTGCCCAACCCTTTGGTAACAGACGATGGAGGGGATGGATCACTAGGTCTAATGGTTTATCTTCCTCAGTTTCCAAGATTCCTCAAGATTCAATATTGCATTTTTGGTCTCTCTGTCTCTATGAATCTCTGAATTATGAACAAAACATCAAGAACAATAAAAACACTTTGGGTGAGCCATGCTTCAGCTTGGATATCTACTGAATCTTTGTGAATCAGTCTGATTTGGTTCATAATTTGGCTGAAACAGACACATATCCCTAATATAAATGAGAATTTTGAACTTACCTGGATATTCTGGCTCTTTACCCAAGAAAAATGGTTGATATCTGCATTCTACTCCAATTAAAACTTCTGGGTCATCATCAAGAACATAATAGGCAGAACACATTACAGCAATTTATTAACTTGTTTACATAGGCATAATTTATAGCTGGACTGAATAATACAGCTGTGACAGATCCCAACTCTCTATCAAAGAAGAAAAAATTTGGACCTAAGTTATCACTGGCAGATTTTTAAAGTATCCAACAAAGGAGAGTCCACTACCAAAGGCAGACACCACTGACAGTGAAACATAAACATTGCAGGACTTGGGCAGGTGAAAAAAGGAAGTGGTAACAAAACTTCTAATATAGCATTTTATAGGACTGACATTATTCCATACATGTTACAATGTAAGAATTCTTATTAAAACCTAGTGAGTCCATGTTAGAGACAAACTTTTATGCTGAAACTTCTAATATCACAGACTTGCAGGTGCTGTGTAGAATTAACACGGCTGCATTAGGAAGAGCTGGCAGTTACTAGTATATATGAAACACAGCATCTCTTCTGAAAGAGACTCAAGTTATTTTGAAACCAAAGGCAGAAAATCTCACAAGTGCCTTATCCCTTTGACAATAACAGTTAATAAATTAGCCACTGCATCGCCTTTTCATGATCCCCCACCCTGCTGCCTGAGACAGCTGTCTCACTTCGTCCGGCTAACCCTGCTTCATAAACAGGTGGGTACAGAAGACATCCATGAATTCACGAGCAAAAAGAACTCTACAGAAAGTACGTTTCAACTGTGAAGGCGCAATCTTGCGTAGACTTTTATGAGTACGTCCCATGGAAATATGTGGGATTTTCTTCCCTGCCAACATGATTCGGATGGAGCAGCACGCAACAAGTCCGGTACGCAAATATTAGCTGGTAAGTCTACGGTGAGGAGGTAAAAAAAAAAAAACCTAGGATAAGAAATGGAGGCTTTGAGGTGGCTGCGCTCCAGTACTGGGGGTGGAGAACCAGCTGTGGTTACCATGGCGATGGCTCACACCGCTATTCATCCCTCCCTCCTCCACCCCCACGCACTCCTCGTTGCTATGACATCAATTCAGCCAATCGGCAGCCCAGTTGAAAAGCCGGCCCTTTAGTGTTCGAGCGAAGCGGGGAAGAGTTTTGCAGTGCACTAAAGAGGAAGTGTGTCTCCTTGAGCTGGTGCCGCCCCCGGAAGTAGGCGTTGAGTGGAGGGGAGGTATATTGGCGGTGAAGCTCGTCCAACTCTTGGCTGCTCCCGGCTTAGTCGATTCTCGTAGAATTGAGCGGAGGCGACGGCGCTGTCAAAGGTGGAGTCGGTGGCTCGAGCGGGTCTCGCGAGAATCACCTCCGTCAGTCAGGAGGCGGAGAGCGGAACCGTTCCTCTTCCTCCTCCCCTCGCTGCTACCTCTTCCCCCCCTCCCTTCTCCCGCCTCCTCCCCCTCCAGGAAGAGTCTGGGCCCAGTACGGGAAGATGGCGGCGGCCGGAGGCGGCAGCAGCAGTGGCTGCGGCGGCGGCTTCTGGACCGCGGAAGGGCCCGAGCTGTGAGACCCCAGCGCGGGGCCGGCGTGGACGGGCGGTCAGCGAGCGGAGGCGGAGGATGAGCTTGCTTTGCGCTCAGTATCTCCGGTAAGGAGGACGAGGGGGAGAGCATTGGAGAGGTGGTTAAGGGGGCGTAAGGGGGTGCCCGTAGGGGGGGGATACGAAGACCTCATGGAGTGGGGGGGGGAATGCCCTGAGGTTTTCCACCCGTTAGGTATCTCTCTTCTCACTCCAATGCGAAGGCCTTGGAGAGGTTAGCGTGCCTGTGAAGGATGCTGCTGTGTTAGCCGCCCCTGGAAAGGATTCCTCTATCAGGTGGTGGTGATGGAGGAGGTGGTATTCATAGGAAGAGAAATGGGGGAACGTATTCACTGACGAGAGATTCTTCAGAGTGTGTAGGACCAGTTTAGGTTGTTCTTCCTATTTTATGCTCACCTAGCAGGAATCTGTCTGGGGGGGGAATTGCATGCATAAAATGTGAGTATGTTAAGAAGAGTGGCATTTGAAAGCTATTAACAGTACCTACAGAAGATTCAGAGAGAAATTAAATAGGGATTCCGCTCCATTCCTTTCTTGTTCACTGCACCTACACTCATGTTCTGAACATACTAAAATTTAGGCTGTAAAAAGGAATTTAAATTGCCACATGGGACCCGAATGTAGGAAGCATACATTAATATTTGAAATAAAGTATTTATGTGTGTAGGGGACACTAAAGGGCAAAAAATGAGATCAGACCTATTATAGTGGACTGATTCTTTTGGTGGGCATGTTGAAGGGAACACAGTGAGAAATAAATGTGCAGAGCAGAAAGAGTGATGTTTCATGGCTGATGGAAGAGAGGATGGTTGGATGAGCAAATGAGAAGACAGCATGATGGAGAAGAATAGGCTATTAAGGAGGAGAAGAGAGGGACCTTCAATCACTTAAAGGCATTGTGTACTGGCAAATGAGAGGCTCAACATACTTCTGCTGTCACAGATATATTTTAATTCATATATATTTCTGCCAGACTTCTGCAGTACTGATTAGATGTGCCACAGTAGTACTGTGCAGTTCTGCTCCACCTGTTAAATGGCAGTAGTATTTAACCCCAGGTGGTGAAGTGAAACTTAACAACTGCAGTATCCGTGTACCTATAGCTTCTCTGTTTAAGAAGTGGCAGCATTGCTTTCTAAATTATAGGTTTTCTCATGATATTTTCTTCTTTTAAGCTTAATCAGTTTCTGTGTAGCAAGAGAGGTAATAATTTGGGAGATGTTTGTTCTACTGTGTGCGTACAATACTGCAAATATATCTTGAAGTCACAGGTCAATGCAGTTATGGAGAAAGAGAAGAATGCTTCCCATGTTCAGTCAGTCACGCCTCAGACATTACTTACATTCTTCTGTCATCTTCATACATTCTAGATTTGTTTAGATGATATTTTTAGTTGATGAGTACTGCTCGTGCATCTAGGCATTTCTAGATGATGAGCATTGCCCTAGCAACTCAATTCAAGATCAAGTTCATTTGGATTTTGTTCAAGACCTACTATGATAGCATAAAGTCCATTTTTATTCAAGTTGTACTATGATAGCCTATTAACATTAGTGTGCTGTCAAGTTGTTTCCAACTTATGGCAACACTTTCCAGGGTTTTCTAACTTGAGAGTACAGTACTTAAAGCTGTGTTACCATGATTCTGACTTACAGCAACCCTTTCCAGGGTTTTCTAAGAGTAATCAAATGATTTGTCATTCTCTTTTTATGGGGGTGCTTTGGGATTCTGCAATTTGCCCAAAGTTAAACAGACTGTCTCCTTTCCAGGGAGATGTAGTGGAGAATTGACCTCCAGCTAAGTAGTCAGATTTCTAACTTTCTGAACTGTCCAGCCAGCAGGATAACATGTTAGATAGACCCATTCTGGTGTGTTGTCTATAAAGACAGGTTTCTTCATTTTGTTGTTTGTTTATACCATAGCATCCCATAAATGAGAGCAAATTATTTCCTTACCTACTGGATAACATAAGTAAAAGACTTGTTTATACTTCAGCTTCCTAAGCTGAGGTATGATTCTCCAAACAAGTAAATATATTTTGTGACTCCCTAGAGAAGTAAAACAATCTCCATTTCTTAGTACCCTATCTATTCAAATGAGCTATTTCTTGTCTTTGACTAAAACAGAAGTGGACTTAAATTCATACAGTTCCCCACTATTGGCTGTCTGGACATGACTGATTGGAGTTACATCCAAAAACATATAGAGGACCACAGTTATTTATCCCCGGCTTAAAAGAGATCTCTTTGATTAAGGAGAACCTAATCAGTTGTAGGCCTCTGTGTTGCCTTTTCTTTTTAGGGAGGTTGCTATAACAGATAGAAGAATATATCCAGGTGTTTCCACCATCCCGTTCCATTTCAGTGTGACTTCAAACCTTATCAAGGATGGAGAGGTCACTGGAATCCATCTGGATGAGTGCTGGAGTTCCATGGGAGGCGTGGATCCCTATTCTATATGATGTTGCTGGAGTGCCTTGTGGTTATTGATATTATGGATGTCTTCCTTCTTTTTGTTCTGAATGGTTTCAGAGCAACAGTTAAGAAAATTTAGCCCATTGAAGTTGTATGTCTTTGGTTCCCTTCTGATTAGGCTTTTCAAACAGTGTTCTTTCCCCCAGTGTAGTATTCCTGACTGCCACTCATGCTTTGGGACATGCCTGTGGTAGAATTGGGTGGGAAACTGACTCTTCAAATTTACAAGCAGAATTCCTGTTGTTCCTGACCGCTGACCATGCTACTAGTGTCTAATGAATTGGAGTAAGTACAACAAATTCTGGAAAGCCAGAAATTCACCATCTCACTGTTAGACTTCTTTTTCCCCTTATGTCTTCTACAATCTTCATATCAGGGCTTGCTCCATGTACAATTTGTTTGTGTAACATAGCCCCAAGGGTGCAGAATGTCTCCTCTATGGAACACAGGAATTGTTCCTTATTTCATTCATGAATTAATAATAATTGCATGTGGTCAAGTCAATTCTGACTTATGGCAACTCTTTTCAGGGTTTTCTATGTACAGAATACTCAAAAGTGCTTTGCCATTCCCTCCTTCTGAGAGCATCCTGAGACTATGCAGCTTGCCCATGACTACACAAGGCTAGCTCTTCCCTTGGGTATGCAGCAAGGAATCAATTTGCCAACCTCTGGCTTTGCAGCCAGATATCTAGGGAATCAATTTGCCCACCTCTGGCTTTGCAGCCAGATATCTATACCATTGAGCTATCCAACCAACTTCATTCATGAAGAGCTCAGAAATGTTCCTTTTCTCTCTGGGTCTATGGGATACATCCCTCAAATGGTTCTTTGACTGGCTAAATGCCTTTGAATAACTATGTTAAAAAAAATTTAATGACTGTAGCTTTATTTTTATTTTTCAAGTCCCTTGCTAAAAAATGATGGTAAGGCACATGTTGAAAAACATGTAAAATTTAGAATAATGTCAGGGGTACCTGGAGATTTCCTCTTAGGCAGATTTACAATCCTAAATTTCTAGATGGTATTTCTGGTTGATCTTGGAGTTTGTGTGGGAGCATGGATAGAAGCAGAACCTTGCATATGTTGGATCCAGACAGGATGGACAAAAATAAATGATTTAAAAAAATCAATTTGATTTAAATTTTAAAAATTATTTAAATCATTAAAAAATCCATTTAAACATGTTTAAATCAAATACACTCTGGACCCACTCATCTAAGGCAAAGGTGTCAAATTCAATTTGATCTTGGGCCACATTGGCATTATGGTTGCCCTCAAAGGGCCGGTTGTGTCTGTAACACTATACAGTGGTGCCCCGCATGACGATTACCTCGTTAGACGAGGAAATCGCTTAACAATGAAGTTTTTGTGATTGCTTTTGCTTCGGGAACCAATTTTTCGCTTAACAATGATCAAAACAGCTGATCGTCGTACTTTTAAAATGGCCACCCGCTGTGTAAAATGGCTCCCCGCTGTGTTTTAGGATGGATTCCTCGCTATACAGGCACTGGAAAATGGCTGCCCTATGGAGGATCTTCACTGGACGCTGAGGTACTTTGCCCCTTGGAACGCATTGAACCGTTTTTCAATGCATTTCAATGGGTTTTTTACTTTCGCTTGATGACTATTTCGTTCTACAGCGATTTTGCCGGAACGGATTATCCTCGTCAAGTGAGGCACCACTGTATAAATGTATCTACTCTTTATCATATTAAATACCATCCTCCTCATTCAATTATTACTGGTTTTAGTAATAACTAGCCGTAAAAGTAAAAGTCTGTGATCAAAGTCATGACAAGCAGATGAGAACGGGAGTGGGCAGTAGCGAGGACTAAATTTACCAAGATGCTGTACGCTGCCCAAGCAGCTGCACTTTCTGACTCTTCACTGCTTGGAATCCTGGGTTTAGAAGTCCTCCTTGGCAGATTCCCAGCATCCTTGCAGAGCATTATGGGTGACGGAGTAAGTGCCTGTATATTGTATACTGCACAGTAGCAGGAAGTGCTGTGAGGGCCACATGAAAAAGCTGGGTGAGCCAGATTTGGCCTGCGGGCCTTGCGTTTGACACATGTGATCTAAGGCAATGGTTCTCAATCTTTGGCCCTCTAGCTGTTTTGAACTTCAACTGCCAAAATCTTGATCATTGGCCAAGCTGGCTGTTGAAGTCATAATCATCTGGAGGGACAAAGAGATATCTGGAGGGATAACCACTGATATAAAACATGTATAGAACTTTTTCATTGAATCTCAGACAATAAGAGAAGCAGTAAAAATGGCAGAACAGTGGCATGTTCTCCTGATATGCTGCCCTTTCAGAAAGTAGGCTGTAGAGTTCTGTGTCTACAAAAGCTTCTGACCAGGCATCAGTAGTGCCATAAGATATATTGCATTACTCAGAAAGCTCTCTTGTGAAAACACTTTCTTTCACTCTGTGTTTAGTTAAGTATTTTATTTCATTTGCTTATTTCTTGCTTCTTCAAGTAGTTGCATATTTTAATTAAACCTGCAGTAAAAGCCTTGTTAACATTATATTTCATTGCAGCACTTTTAAGACATCCTGCTTTTGCTCATT